AAAATTCATAACTAAATACACAAAAATCAGAAAAATGATTCGAAAATTGCTACGAGCTCATTGAGACTCCATCTCCCTTGTTGAATTCTTCGATTCGTGGTTACGCATTTTAAAAAGCAATTCCGAACATTAACGGGAGATGTTTGTTGAAGTTATACTTAGGCTTAAGAGGAAAGTGAGTTATGTAAACCAATTTGGATGTTTTCATTGCGAAATGGATGATTTATGGGTTTCATAATTTTATAACGTCACAAGGAGGCGGGGGTATTTTTCGGGGCATTTTTAGGATTTTTCTACTATTTATTATCTTTTTTCAAAGATTTTTGCACTAAAAAAGCTAAAATAATTGCCAAATGGACACCTGGCGCGATCTCAGCCCCTCACATTTCATCCCTTGACAAGTGTGCGTCAGTGAACATGGTCACCTTACCTTTTACCATAAATTATTATTTTATGACTTTTTCTTAGAAAATTCATAACTAAATACACAAAAATCACAATAATGTTCCGAAAATTGCTACGAGCTCATTGAGACTTCATCTTCCTCCTGAATTCCTTGTTTCATAGTTATGCTACATTAGTATTTTATTATTATTTATCCTAAATTATTTGTATTATTATTGTTATATTACTTTTTAGCTTGTACATTTGTTAATTATATTTACTCCAAATTTTTATTTTTATTTTTATTTTCCGTGCGAAGAGACCATTTCTGGTGTTAATCAGTTTCTCTCTTCTTCAATTTGTTAATGTTTTTTCTTAGGAAAATATCATTCCCAAGAACCGGTGAAAAGACACATACTCACTTCATGCATGCGTTTTCGTTTACCAAATATTAAGATTGCAGTTGTGCAAAATATCTGTGTCAGTAAAATGTCATTCGTAGCCGTCAATTATGTCAGTAATAATTCCACTATATAACATATATTATACATTTATATATAAAACGGTTTAGGACAGCATAAACACCAGACAAAATAGATTAAAACATGAAATAGAAAACAACATTTGTAGAACACAGACACGTATAAAAACCGTAGAAATATATTACAACTAATTATAAGGGTATGGATTCCCTGGCACAACATAGACACGCATCACCTTGAACCAAAAAACACTCTCATGGTGCCATTTGCATCGATTGCAACAAGTCCAGAAGGCAGGATTGATCTTTTCTTCACTAGGCCAGCCTGGAATAACAAAACACCAGTCGTTGTTGTTACAAGCGCTGCACTGATTGAACTTAATCTTCCCATAGTGAAACATATCTACGATATGTCTTCCAACAGAGAAAATTCCGCTTAATCGTCGTCTCAAAGCATCCCTGGTTCCT